CACTACAGGTCAGGAGTTTGAGACCAGCCTGGCTAGCATAGTGAAACCCTGTCTCTACTAAGAAGACAAAAAATTAGCTGGGCATGCTGCTGCATGGCACACGTCTGTGGTCTCAGTACTTGGGGAGGCTGAGGCATGAGAACTATGTGAACCTGGGAGATGGAGGTTGCAGTGAGCCAACATCATGCCACTGAACCCCAGTCTGGGTGACAGAGCAAGACTCTGTCTCAAAAAAAAACAAAAAACAAAAAATAGAAAGATATGCTCTCTAGGATTTTGCCTTCAAAGATGATAAGCCACAGGGTACACATTAATATTCTTATTATTTATTTTTTATAAGTTCCTTTGGCTTTTACTTTTTACAATTCTGAAAACAAAGTAGAAAAAAATTGCTAGATGTAAATTTGTAGAAAGCAAAATTTAATATGTAATCAATAGTATCTACTATGTGCAAATATAATGCTAGACCAGTGGGGTCCTCTTCTCAGACAAATATTCTTAAAATCTTTCATTCAGAATTTGAAATCCATCTCAAGAAAAGAAAAACAAGGAGGAGGGAAGTTTCCTAGATCATTGGTAAGAGTTAGCATAGTGAAGAAAACATTGGCCAGGCGTGGTGGCTCATGCCTGCAATCCCAGCACTTTGGGAGGCCGAGAAGGGTGGATCACGAGGTCAGGAGATCGAAACCCATCTCTACTAAAACTACAAAAAATCAGTCAGGTGTGGTTGCGGGCACTTGTAGTCCCAGCTACTCGGGAGGCTGAAGCAGGAGAATGGCATGATCCCGGGAGGCAGAGCTTGCAGTGAGCCAAGATTGTGCCCTGCACTCCAGCCTGGGTGACAGAGCAAGACTCCGTCTCAAAAAAACAAAAAAAGAAAAAGAAAAGAAAAACAAAACATTGAGGGTTTTGTTACCGACTCAAGAGTCCATCTAGATGCAAAAGCAACAAATAACATTCCCAGAAATACCATCGGTCAGAAAAAACACCCTATGTGTACCCTTCCTTAAAAACTTATTAAAAGACACATTCCTGTGAAGCAAGAGATAAAGAGTAAGGGTCTAAGAAAAGAGAAGTTGTGATATTTAAAAAATACTATAGTTTATGCTGCCATGTAAAACTATCAAAGTAAAAATAATTGTTATAAGCATATCAAAGTTGAATGCAAAAACATTAATTTGAATTGCATCAAAAATAAGATGAATTAATAAATAGAAAGATATACAGGTAGGTACTAAAGCAAATATTAAATGTTAATGGTGGAATCTAGGTGGTGAGTATATGGGTGTTTACTGTACAATTCTTCCAACTTTGCTGTATGCTTGAAAAAGTTCATAATAAAATGTTGGAAAAGTGAATGCAAGGATTTTCTTTAAAAGATTTCCAACATTTTATTATGTATGATGCAATAAATAAATAAATTGTTCAGCAATAAAGCTAATGTGAGTCCATTACATGAAACCATGGCATACAAACAAAAAAAACATAGAACCCAATCTCTACTAAAAATACAAAAATTAGCCAGGCATGGTGGCACATGCCTGTAGTCCCAGCAACTTGGGAGGCTGAGACAGGAGAATCGCATGAACCTGGGAGGCAGAGGTTGCAGTGAGCTGAGATCACGCCATTGCACTCCAACCTGGATGACAGAACAAGACTCTGTCTTAAAAAAAAAAAAAAAAAAAAAAAAAGCAAGACTTAAAAAAAAAAAAAAGAAATTAAAAGAATCTTCCACAAGAGGGAGTCAAAATCATTGAAATTATCTTTAACTTTATAGGTTCAAATATGTTTTTGGGGAACATTTTCTCTAGTCCTGGAGAAAATACAAGCAAAAGAAGTAGACACCATATTTTAAAAAATAAAGAAAAACTAAAGAAACAGCAATGAAGCATAAAACAAGCAGCAGATATCCAAATCAGTTAAGAGAATAAGTATAAATTACTAATGCTCACCTAGAAGAGTCAACAGAAAAAAAACAAGAAAATATTTAAAAAGACAAATCAGAGACTTGATTATATATTCAACGTGCATTATAAAACTAATATATTATAGTATCAATAGGTAAAGTGAATAAAATAGAAAACAATTAGACATATATATTACACACACACACATATAGATAAGGACTTAATATGGTGATGGTGAAATCACATATAGAGGAGGAAAAAAATGATAAACGTTACTATTAGAAAAAAAATCAAGTTGGCACCTATGCTCATCCCATGCACTAAAATATCTAAAGGGTTAAAAACTTTTAAAAAAGGGAAAAAAATCACAATCAACAGAGTAAAAAGGCAACCTATGAAATGAGAGAAAATATTTATGAGTCAAAACTTTGATAAAGGATAATATCCAAAATATATAATTTCTGCAACAACAAAAAAATATAAATAACCCAATTAAAAAATAGGCAAAGGAGTTACAGACATTTCTCCAAAGAATATATACAAATGACCAACAAGCATAATGAAAAGATGCTCAACATCACTAATCGTTTGGGAAATGCAAATCAAAGCAACAACAAGATATCACCTCATGCCCATTAGGATGGCTATCATAAAAAATAAAGTAAAATAACGAGTATTGGCAAGGATGTTAAAGTCATTGGAACCCTTGTACACCGTTGGTAGGAATGTAAAATGATGCAGCCAGGGTGGAAAATAGTACTGCGGTTCCTCAAAAATTAAAAACAGAATTACCATATGACCCAGCAATTCCACTTCTTGGTATATACCCAAAATAATTGAAAGCAGAGTCCCAGAGAGATATTTCCATACCAATGTTCACAACAGCATTATTCACAACAGCCAAGAGGTAGAAGTAACCCAAAAATTCATTAATGGATAAACGCATAAACAAAATAAGATATATACATACAATGGAATAGTATTCAGCCTAAAATTGGAAGGAAACTCTGACACATACTACAATATAGATGAACCCTGAAGACATTATGCTAAGTGAAATAAGCCAGTCAGAAAAAGACAAATACTGTATGATTCCATCTGTATGAGGTACATAGAGTAGCCAGACTCATATAAACAGAAAGTAGAGCGGTGGTTACCAGGGCCTGGGAGGAGGATGAAATGAAAAGCTGTTGTTTAATGGGTATAGAGTTTCAGTTTTGCAAGATGAAAATATTCTGGAGATTAGTTGTACAACAATGTGAATATACTTAATACTTGTAAAATAGACACTTAAAAACAGGTAAGATGGTAAATTTTATGTTATGTGTATTTTATTAAAATTTTTTTTTAAAAAATAGACAAAGCAAGACAAATTAAAATAAGAAAATACTGTAAATTAAAGCAAGAAAAAATACAAGTGAATATTCGGTGACAAAAATGATAGGCTTTTTTTATAGCTAAAAGCAATGGAAAAAATCTTAAAGTCAATAGATTAAAAAAATTTTAAATGTGATACACAAAATTATCATTAAACAAAGCTAAAGAACAAATAACAAACTGAGAGAAAATAACTGGAACAAAATGACAAAAGCTTAATATCCTTAATGTACAAAGGTCTCACACCAATTCGTTAGACAAACAGTAAAACCCCATTTAAAAAAATGAGTGGGCAAGCACAGTGGCTCATGCCTTACTACCAGCACTTTGGAAGGCCAAGGCAGGAAGACTGCTTGAGCCCAGGAGTTTGAGAGCAGCCTGGGCAACACAGGGAGACCTCGTCTTTACAAAAAATTAAAAAATTAGTGAGCATGGTGGCACATGTCTATAATCCTAGCTACTCAGGAGGCTGAGGTGGGAGGATCGCTTAAGCCCAGGAGGTTGAGGCTGCAGTGAGCTGTGATTGTGCCACTGCACCCCAACTTGGGCAATAGGGAGAGACCCTATCTCAAAAAAAAACCAATGAGTAATGTATACAACTTACAATTTACAGAAGGCATAGTTATTCTACTGGGAATCTAAACTCATTATATAGTCTAAAATCCATACAAAGACTCAAAAATATTCTTCACATACGGAAGGAAAAAAAAAAAACAGTACAAATACAGTTTGTAAACAGTTAAAAAAGGCCAGGTATGGTGGCTCACATCTGTAATCCCAACACTTTGGCAGGCCAAGGTGCGTGGATAGCTTGAGCTCAGAAGTTAAAGACCAGCCTGGGCAACATGGTGAAATCCCGTCTCTACAAAAACACAAAAAATTAGCCAGGCATGGTGGCACATGTCTGTGGTCCCAGCTACTCAGGAGGTTGAGGTGGGAGGATTGCTTGAGCCCCGGAAGCGGAGGGTGCAGTGAGCTGAGATCACGCCATTGCACTCCAGCCTAGGTGACAGAGCAAGACCTTGTCTCAAAAAAAAAAAAAAAAAAAAAAATTAAATACGTTTTGATATATATATATTCACCAAATATTATGCAGCCGTAACGTTCATGAAGAATATCAATACATCACTGTAATGTTAAATAAAAACAAGATTCTGGCTGGGCACGGTGGCTCATGCCTGTAATTTCACCACTTTGGGAGGCCAAGGCAGGCGGATGACGAGGTCAAGAAATCGAGACCATCCTGGCCAACATGGTGAAACCTCGTCTCTACTAAAAACACAAAAATTAGCCGGGCATAGTGGTGCACAACTGTAGTCCCAGCTACTCGGGAGACTGAGGCAGGAAAATCACTTGAACCCAGAAGGCAGAGGTCGCAGTGAGCCAAGATCATGCCACTGCACACCAGCTTGGTGACAGAGCGAGACTCCGTTTCAAAAAAAAAAAAACAAGATTCTAAACTAGATACACAGCTTTAGCCCAATTACGTTAAAACATCCATAAATATGTAATATGTAGGTACACAGAAAAAAGATGGAAGAAATTACATCAAAATTTAACATTGTCTCTGAATAATTAGCTTACAGTATTTTATTTTTCTTCAAACTTCTCCATAATTTTGAAATTCTCTATAATTTAAAAAGATATTCTTAAAAAATAAAACTAGCAAGCAATGATATACTGTACTGTATAATTTAAAAGCTCAGCTCTACTTACCTGTTGTCATGGTTGGACTAAATAGTCCCAGTACTGACACACTAGAATAGGAGATCAGGTCTTTATATAATTCCCCACTTAAATATTCTTCTGCTTCTTGAATCGATGTTATATTCACTGGATATGAAATCCTATTGCTGGATAAATATATAGCTATATTAAAAATTAATTTTTAAAGATATTTTCAGTTTGTAAAAAAAAAGCATACTAAACATAGCAAACAAGATATTACATAGGATAAATATCTTACAAAATATAGAAAATTAAATATTATTCTTAATGAAAATCAGACTCATTAAACAAAATTACTGTCTCCCCAAAAGTGACGAAATGTACATAGACTCTCATGAATATTTATTTTGTGATCTCAATTCTAGTATCCTCCTTAACCTATTTAAAGTATTAGCAAACTCTGAGAATTAGAACTTCTAAAGACCTAAACATTTAAAGATCTTATAATGAAGCTGAATACTTACAGTTGGATAAATTTTAGGAGATCTTTGGTACCTAACATTCCAGCGTAAGATACTGGGTTCTCCCCTTTCTTGTACATCTTTACAATAGGAAATTCAGTAACATTTTGCTTAGTACATACATCAGACCAATCTGCACAGTTTATTCTAGTAAGAAGCATAGTAGATGTGCCTAAATAAAAGGAAAATGCACATTTGTAATTACTAATTGTAGAAAATGCATTTGCTTAGGATTTTCAATATTTTTCTATCCCATTCTTATTTTAACCTCTCAGCATGAAACACTCCTGCTTAAACACTCTCTTGCCTTGATCTTTGCAACACCATCCCCTATTGGCCTTTTCCCTTCCTTTCTAGTTTCTCCTCTTTGTTCCCTTTTGTTGGCTCTTCAGCCAGTAGAGTTGGGAGTCCTTCAAGGCTCAGCTTAAGCTGCCTTCTCTTGTTTTTCTTCACTCTCTTCCTACACAACCTCAATAACCACAGATAATCTAATGAATCCTGTATTTATGTCTTTGGCCCAAACTCCTTGTAGTTCCAAAAGACCCATGTATCCTTACTATATTCTGTTTTCCTTTGAATGGAAACCTCCTCAAACTCAACAAGTCTAAAACCATATATGGTTTCTTTTCTGTGTTTGTTGGTAAATGTCGCTGCTCTTGTGCAACTCAAAAAAACAAAGCTTCATCTTTCATACCTCCCCATTCCCAAGCCCTTCATGCCTATTAATTAATCAGCATGTTCTTTCAATTTTACCACCTAAATTTTTAGTATCTCTAATTACTGTCCATTTCTCTTCACTGCCACTACTCAAGTTGTTATTTCTCCTGGATAACTACAATAGGCTTCTAATTCATCTCCTTGAATTCAGTGTCTCTACACTAATACTAGAGATATCTTTTCAAAACTCAAATCTGTTTTGGTACCAGCTTACTCCCACCAACCTTTGCAGAGTTTAAATCTTTCTCACCATGTACAACTTCAAGGAAGCCTTCTCTGACACACTGATCTACATCAGGTTCCCTTGACATAGGCTATTATAGAACCATGCTCCTTTCCTCATCTCCTTATGTAATTATATACTATTCATTATCTGATTAATGTGTCTCTACCAAGACAACTCTGTGAGAGCAGGGACTGTGTCTGTTTATTTATCACTGATTTTCCAGCACCTGCAGCACCTTAAATATGCATGTGAATAAATGACATATGTGAAACTCACATAGGACTTCAGACACCTAACCTGTCTAAATATTATAATTTCTTTTCAGCCTAAGAAAACACATAGTAGAATCTCAAACAGAAATTCCTACTTGCTCTATAATAAAACGCGTAAAGTTATCTAAAATATTATAAATCGCTATGTGGAAAGAGATCAAATGCTAAATAAAATAAGCACCATACAACTCAAAAGAATAAATTCTAATAAAAAATAAAATTTAGTATCATACTAGACCAAAGAAGGAATCTTTGTGTATCAATTTAGAATATAGTCTAAATGTAACTTAATCATATGATTAAAATTGTGAATGTGATATTTTAATATTTTATCACCAAATTTTTTTAATTTTAATTTTAATTTTTTTTTTTTTTGAGACAGAGTCTCACTCTGTAGCCCAGGCTGGAGCAATCTCGGCTCACTGCAAGCTCTGCCTCCCGGGTTCACGCCATTCTCCTGCCTCAGCCTCCCGAGTAGCTGAGACTACAGGTGCCCAGCACCATGCCCGGCTAATTTTTTCTATTTTTTAGTAGAGATGGGATTTCACCTAGGATGGTCCTGATCTCCTGGCCTCGTGATCCGCCTGCCTCAGCCTTCCAAAGTGCTGGGATTACAGGCACGAGCCATGGCGCCCAGCCTTTGTCTTATTCACCACTATATACCCACTGCCTAGCACAGTGTCTATTACACAGTATGTACCCAGTAAAAATGTGTAAAATGTACATTGATATTTCTTCATAAATTTTAAATTCTTACATTAAAGGATATTAATACTTGAATTTTGTATGAGCATATAAACAAATATAAATCCTTATTTCTTCCCAAATCAGACCTGCTAAGTTACTTCCTATCAAAGTTCTCTTATCCTTGTTTTAATCATTTTGATACAGGAGCTAAGAAGAAATCACTTAGGGAGATAGCAAGGGTATGGGAGTCCTTGGTAAGGTTTTTCTTTTTAATGAAAAGCAGCCCCAAATCTTTTTCTAACAAAGAGCAGCCTGCAAGCTGGAAGTCTGCACGTACTGGCAGGAACTAAGGACTAGACGTTTTCAACATGGCTGCTCGGTCTTCCCTTCTCTGCCAGGCATGTGTTCCATAAGGAGCAGACAAGATGGCCCTAGACAACTTTTGGAAAGCCCATTTGTATAAGATTAAGGTGGGTCGACCAGACTTTCCTGTGCCACTGTGTAAACATCATACCTGACTGAACCAATCTATGAGTCCTATGTAAATCAGACACCACCTTCTAAAACTGGACTATAAAACTCAACACATTCGCTGCCAGCCAGTCCTTTCTGCTTGGAGACCCCTTCCTCTATAGAGGAAGCTGTTTCTCTTTCTCTTCTCTCTATTAAACTGCTCCTAAACTCCTTGTGTGTGTCCGTTTCCTAAATTTTCCTGGTGCATGACAACAAACCCCAGGGTATATACCCCAGACAATGCAGCTGCTTCAATTTCATCAATAAACATCTGGTGATGCTTGTTTATACAAAGTGCCATGTTATATATTTTGCCACCCAAGTACGGAATATAGTGCTCTTCCAGCTGCAGTGCTTTCCTTTCAATAAGCATCCTCAGCATGTCTACTACTGCTAAAAATGTGATTATTCCTTTGTCCCTACAGTTGAAATGGAAAATTTTGATGTTATTTTTAAAACCAGAAAAGTAATACTGATACATATCATTAAAAGTTATACTGAAGTTATCAATTTAAAAGTTTTATTTTTATTCCTGTAAAATGGTTCCAATATTTATTCATGTTTCAATTAAAATAGTCTAATATTCTAAGATGCCTATAGTATTACATCCCATATACTTTATCAATGCAGTAATTTCAAATAGGTTCCTAATTTAAAGGAAAAACCAGATTATTTTAGATACAGGTATTATTTAAGTATAAAATTTTGACATTTGCTGCCACCTTGTGACAGAGTAAAAAACATTCTTCATTGTCTTGGACTAAGAGATACAAATGGCTTTTTCCCACAAAGTCAGATCTGTCAGAAAGACAGATGATAGAACTAAATGCCCAAGGTATTATTATATTTTCCTAATTTATAAAGTTATAGTGTAGGCTTCAACATAAACACAAAACATTGTAAATACCTATGCAATGCATTTCTATATTAAGTTCCCTGAACTTCCAGAATAATCCATTCTGATATCTGATTACCAAAAAAAATTGTTATTCATAAAGAACATAGTGAATGAAAAGGAAAACAAGTCCCGGATTGCTTATCTACTTTTTTATTCCACAAACACATACAACTCTGAGCCCTTGCATTAAGGAGACAGGTAGTCTCTTTATTTGGTCATTAATAGAAAAGAATGCAAGGAAATCTTTTTCCATTTTCATCTTGTGTCTAATTAAATGGGGTGGAGAGAGGGATAATTAATCATATTCTTGAGGAATATTATCCAATCACTACTTCATTATGATTTATATTTTCTCCTTCATTGCTTTTCTTCTAAGTATTTGCCAATAAGGCTAGAGAATCTAAAAGAAGAAAACTTAAATTTGTCTGTAGATTGCAACTTGCCTTGCATAAAGGAAAATATGAAAGCAAGTAAGAGGATTTGCTTCTTTAAAAAATGATTAGAGGCTGGGCGCAGTGGCTCATGCCTATAATCCCAGCACTCTGGGAAGCCAAGGCAGGTAGGTTACTTGAGGTCAGCAGTTTGAGACCAGCCTGGACCCTGTTGCTACTAAAAATATAAAAATTAGCCAAGCATGGTGGTGCACACCTGTAATCCCAGCTACTTGGGAGGCTGAGGCAGAAGAATCACTTGAACCCAGGAGGTGGAGGTTGCAGTGAGCTGAGATCACACCATTGTACTCCAGCCTGGGCAACAAGAGCAAAACTCCATCTCAAAAAAAAGGTTACAGATCGTTGTGTCTACAGACTTAATTATCCCTTCACTCAGTAATAATCAAAAGTTGGATCAAATGTGGTTGGGTAATAAAAGGAATGGAGACAGACAGAACAGCGTGTGGAGGCTCGCATCATGAACTTTTGCTCCAAAACTGCAGCAATACATAAGGAGAGCCAAGAGAACTGACAGACCCTCTGAAGGAAGTGATTGCACCTGCAGGACCTGGGAGACACCCCAAATACTGTGAGTACTCAAACTGTGGAAGTGGGAAAGGCAGATCGTCCACCCCAAACACACACCCCCATGGGGGAACCTAAAGGTCTAGATTACGGGAGAAGATTCTGACCTTACCTGGAGCTGAGTCAATTTAGAGAGCAGAACAAAAGTGAAATACACGGATAGAGGAAGCAGCAGGAAAATCCCTGTGGGCTCGCTGGGTGCCCTACCAAGCCATCTGTGCCTCACCTCACAAGGGGTCCTTGAGGAGGGCTACTGGAGGCACTCAGAAAAGGCCACAGGCAAAAAGAAACCTCCAGCTGAACTTTGTAACAATTTGAACCAATCGAAAAGTCTCCTGGCCAGAACTCGGGGGAGCGCATGAATCCAGTGTGCAGACGCCACAGGTTGGGGAAGAAAGAAAGCCTTACTTATTTTCGCAGCTGGAAGGCAGGTAGCCTAGGGCAGGTTCTCAGCCCTGTTCACCCACTACCTGCAAACAGACTTGGTGCTTTTGAGTGGGGGCACAGTGGAAGTGAGACTGGCCCTTTGGGTTGTATGGGAGCTGGGTGAGGCCTGTGACTGCTTTCCTCCACTTCCCTGACAACCTGCATGACACAGCAAAGACAGCCATAATCCTCTGAGGAACATAACTCCATTGACCTGAGAACCTCACCCTCATCCCCCACAGCAGACGCAGCAAGACCTGCCCAAGTAGAGTCTGAGCTCAGGCACGCCTAGCCCTGCCCCCACCTAATGGTCCCCTACCCACCCTGGTAGCTGAAGACAAAGGGCATACACTCTTGGGAGTTATAGGGCCCTGCTCACTGCCTGTTCCTCCTGACACCAATGCACTTTCAAGCCAA